CCGCCCCAACGCTAGGCAGGGCGGCCGGGGGGGTCCTGGTTTTGCTGCGGGTTTATTCTGCCTCGGGCTGGATGGGGGGGGGGATTATTTGTTTGGGGGGAAATTATTTCGCTTCGCTTTTCCCCGCGCTTTTGGAAGTACTTTGCCACCCCTTTCGAGAAGAAAAGAAAGGCGCTTGCTGACAGGACCCCGGAGCGCACAAGTCCCCCGGCTCCCCGAAAACCAGCCTCTCGCACCGGCGGCCCCGGGGACGGCGGGGGGACGGACGGCTGGAGGGAGCACGCAGCCGCTTAGACAAAAGTTCGCATAGAGAGAATTAGTGCGGGGGGCCCGATCCGACTCGCACCGAATTCAGGGCGGTTTTTACGAGTTATTTCAACGAAAGAGCGAGTGCCCCGCCGGCGGAGCCGGGAAGGACCGGGGGCAGGCGGCACCCGAGCCCCGCAGACCGCGGAGAGAGCGGAGAGCCGGGCGGGAGCTCCTCTCTCACCTTGGGGCTGGGCTATTCCCTTCCCGCACCCCCATTCCCTCCGGGGTCCCTGATCTTCATTTGGATAATCGAACAGCCGAGCAGGAGATGAGGCAAAAGCTTGAACACGGAAACTTGTGTTTCCCGTTCAAGCGGCATGGGTGCGATCAAAAGTTCACAGGCGCCCGTGAACGGTGGTGCCGGCAGGGCGCCATGCCCTCTTTCTCCAAAGATCCCCTTTTAGCCACAGGGTGCGTGGGTCTGCGTGCCCGCTTCCAGACCAGCCCGAAGTGGTAGGAAATGGGGCTGCCAAGGGACCCCCGACCTTCTCCTGGGGGGATTGCAAAGGGCGTGATCAAACCTTGCCCCCACGCACGTGTTTCCCAAGGCGACGTGAAGTGGGCAGCAGCGTGCGGAAATGAAGCGGGGGCACCCAGCTCGGGATGCTTAACCCCGGCCCGTCCTCGGCGGGCTTTTCCCTCTCCCCCCAGCCCCCAGCTACGGCATGTGCGTTGCTGGGAGTTCCTCCGATCGAAAGTCGGGAGCCGGGAGGCAGAAAGCGGTGGTCTTTGGGTTAAACAGACACCTCTCCGCCTGGTAAAGCACCCCGTGCTGTTCCTTGTCTGCTCTCCTTTGTGTTATCTCTCACGCTGCCCAGGCCTCGCAGAGTTATGCCGTAAAGGCGATGTCCCACATTAAAACAATATGAATTCGCGGACGGATCCTGAATATGAATGAGGTATGTGGTCGTATGACTGCTTTTAAGCTGTACTTCTCCGAATATGGCTTTAATTAAATGTCTTCCGGCTCTAAAAGATTACATGTTGTGCAAAATATATCCTAGCATGAAATTTACTTCCACGATACGAAATTAGGTTACTTATAAACGTCTTCATTTAAAAAAGAAAATCGCTGCTCCTCGTTCTGGTTTCTGTTTTGCTGAACAGAGAGCTCCGACGAGGAAAGAGGGTTGGGATAATATATTTATAGAGGCACGTGTAACAAAACCTGCCAGAAGCGGAGTGGGTGAGGGCTGCTTGCTCAAATTCAGACAATTCACAAAACAGGCAAGTTAATCCAGATCTGATTTGTTTCAGATCCAGCTGTCAGAACCCCGGGATACCTCCCGCGTCTCATGCTGCAGATATCTAACGTGCTCTCACCGCCGCCCCCACCCCGTCCCTTCCTCCTGCATTTATTCCGTGCGAAGGATGCTCGGCGGGGAGAGGGGTCAGGGCAAACAGGTGGAGAAAGGCGACGATCTCCACTCGCGAAAAATAAAAGTAATTCTTGGCGGGGTGGAGGTGGAGGATAGCGTCGTGGTGAGACTGGGACCAGTTAACCGGGCAAAGCAGTTTCACTCCGCCAGCGAAATCGCGCTCGGTGTCAAGAGCTTTCCCGCTCCGGACGGTGGATGCCGGCGGAATTCACGTTGCTGGAGGCGATGCTCTGTTTGTCTGTTTCTTTTTACGCCCTCAGATACGGGACCTCGCCTAGCTGAGTTTCTATAGAGAGATCAGATAATGGATCCCTCCGGATTACCTTTCTAAATTAACTTTTAGACTTGTTTTTATAGCCCGTTGAGACCCTGACAAAAGAGGCTGTAGCTAGATACAGATACGCGATAAACATATAAAGCAATCTCATTACACGGGAATGAGTGAAGAACTCTCCTTGCAATCTGCTCTAGATAACGAGGCTGCCTGAAGAAACAAGTAAAGCCGAGATATTTACTTCTTTTCCTATTAAATAAACCTCAATAACTGCATTGACTTTGCGCAGTGTTTACTACACTTCCATTCAATGCTTGGGTAAACGCATCCCTAAAGGTAGAGTAAATAATTGCACTGATCTCAACAAGGGAAATGTGTAGGCATTTGAAGCGTGCTAAAAATAAACGAAGGCGAAACAGACTGAAGAGAGAGGACATCGCGCTCGTTTGCCGCAATTAAAGCCTCTGCTTTCTCTCGCCGGAATCCGAGGCTTCCCGAGCGCAGCCGGGGTGACACGTTCCCCGCGGGTGTCACCGGGACAGGACCCGAGTGGCCGGGGGGGGGCGGGGGGGCGGGCGGGGGGG